TGCCTGGCAAATTTAATGAAGAAGTGGAATGTGATCTGATGTACTACAAAATTTACAATGTTCCATAGCATCGATCGTTGTATACGATATGCTGCTGGAGTGGAGATACCAGACAAGACTATGAAAAGTATCCTGGATGCATATTATCAGTGCTGGATGCAGATTAGACCTGCAAAGGTACTCGACTCCGACGAAGAGGGTGCCCTTAACAACGACACTGCGAAAGCAGTCTTTGAGGCAAAAGGCATTGAACTTCGGATACGTGCGCGTGGACATCACGTTGCGACGATCGAAGCCAGAAGTGGCATCCTGCGCCATGTACTTCATGTCGCGGAAGCTGAACTCAACAGGTTGGACATGCCTCTTGTGTTCACGCGGCTACTGCACGAGGCTATGTTCGCCGCCGACGCGTTCGCCTTCTACAACAGGGTGTCTCCGTATAACGCTCTGTTTGGAAGGCAACTAGCAATGCTTCCTGACTTACCTGTCTTGGACCACGAGCAGTCGACGGAAACGTCGGACCATTCCCGTGAGCAGGCGATACGCAGGGTACGTATTGAAGCTATCACACAGGCCATGCCAGTAGCTAAGACCAATCGTGCCTTACGCACTAAGACAACTATTACTGGTCAGCACTAATACGATGCAGGAGGCTTGGTCGATTATCATCGCACCACGACCACGAAGGATGACTGGGGAGGCTGGAACGGCTTATTTACAGTTGTGAAGAATGATCCCGAAAGGGGTCAAGTCATCATCCGAGTGGGCAATCGAGCTGTACAGGTACAATGCGGCGATGCAAGACGTTCATTATATATGAAGCGCTGATAGCCTGAGAGATTGGCTCCGACAACACTGCACTACGCACAGTGTTGACGTTCGTGGCCAGTTTGTCAGTGGGGAGACCTGCTCTGACCGTTGTCTATGTGCCGACCAAGAAAGGGGCGCTTCAGATGGCGAGTGCAAGCCATGTATCTCCTAAGGTACATTTGGCTTTACAGTACCTTATGAGAAGCTTCTTCTGTTTTGAGAATGTAGTTTCAGTCAGGCTAGCTAAGAGTATTCATAAGCTATCTCTGGTTACTTGTGCTGACAGCTGCGCATTGGTCCACTATGTCAACGACGTGAATCCAGGATTTCACTGTTATGAAGCAGAAGGCACTGCACTGAACATACACGATATAACTGGATCAGCACCCCGAGAATTTATGTAATGCCTGAAGTCTACTAAACCTCAGGCAGGTTTTGATCCGGACACGACGGGATTTGAATAATTGGCGGATACACCAGAAGCTTCAGAAGCCGAACCACCATATGATGATGGACGGCTTCCTACGATCTACGAGGGACCAGAGGCTGATCTTGAGTCACATGTGATGGAAGTGTGGTGTGCAGAACTACAAGAGGAAAGGGTACTTTTGGAGGCAACTCCAGGAGAGGGCCCCTTTACCATGCCCACGCAACGCAGATGGTTCCATATCAAAGTGTGCTGATCACTGTAGCTGATGCACTGCGGGGACACCTGCCGAAGTAAGGACGCACACCGAGGATACGTACTATGTCCCAATGTGTACCTTGGTCGAAAACAACTACGGACTGGACTCAGACGAAAATGGCCAAAAGGCCGAAGTCTGCTTTACGGCAGAAAATCTCACAAGTAGTCCTGTCCGAACAACAGCGCATGATGCTAGATGCCGACCGTGTGACCACCATGCGAGTATACGTAACAGCAGCTGCCAAGCGAGCTGTGGTTCTCGAGGAAGACGACCTCCTCGCGAAAGCTGACATCCAGGCGAATCCCGATAAAGTATCGAAGGCCCTGTACACTGAACTCAAGACATGGTTCGACAACAAGTGTTTCAATATGCAAGATATTGCTAAGGCGTCGATCATCATGACTTCGAGATACGTGTACAAATGGAAGTTCGTGAAGAACGAGAAGGGCGAGATGGAACGTACCATCAGGTTACGCCTGGTACTCCGAGGCTTCATGGACCTTGAAACCTTCGACGTAGAGACCTTGTCGGGAACAGCGCGACGGTCAAGCCAGAGGCTGCTCGCCAGCACGGCAGCATGCAATAAGCAATGGGTCATTGCTTCCGTCGACATCCACATGGCCTTCCTGGATGGGGTTGACCTATCAGGAACTTGCTGAGGCTACTGGTGAGAAAGAACGTGTGGTGTGTTTTACTCTGCCGCCTGGATCGGCCACAGTGCTTCGAACGCTTCCAGGATTCGAGCGCTACGACGATTCAAAGCACTGCTTGCCGTGCTTGAAACCAGGCACGGGTACCAAAGACGCACCACGGGCTTTCCCACTAAAACTGAGAAGGACCGCCAGAGGTTTTGGTCTCCGACCCACGTCCTACAACGAGGAGTTCGAGACGAGCAACAACCGGCTCACGGCCAAACGCGTTGATAATATCAATGTGGCCCGTAATGGGGGCACCATTGACAAGTGTGTCAGGTGCGTAGAAGACTCTTTTGGTAAGTGTAAACTCAAGCACACATGCGCCAACTGTGCTGTGATATACACCAAGGATGAGGGCGGTCATGTCACCTTGTACCAAGATGAATTCACCAAACAGCTCCGTCCCATACAACGTCCTGAACTTACCGGCGCCGACGCTGACGCTCAGGCATCCAAGATGGTTGCAGACGTGTTCGTCAGCCTCAGGGGCGCGCTGGCGCATGCATTAAGCACCCAGGCGTGGTTGATGATGTCTGTTGTATCTCTACAGCGTGTCCGAGAACCGACCAACATCCAAGTGCGACGACCGTCCGCGATCACCAGGAAGCTGCAGGCCTGCCCACAGAAGATCCTCTACCAGGCGATGACTCCTACGGGCGAGGTCGACCTGCACAGCGACTCAGGATACCGACGCCTGAGTGGGGACGCCGATGACGACGTCACGGGCTATGGTATTCGAGGGCAAACCTGCTACGACGTGGACACACGGCATCCAGTAAACCTGTCGTTCACTTGATCGATGCGCACTGCAAGTCTCGCCGCTTGCAGGCCCGCTCGAGTTATCCAGCATGCACGCTAGCAGCAGCCCGTAATTTGGAGGACTGTTATCCCACGATTGTGACTCTGCACGAGATCCACGCAGGGCCGCCCACGCCCACTCACTTGAATGAAATAATTGAGTTGGGTGGCCTGCGCATCAAGGTCACTTTGACCATAGATGCTGAGTCGTTTTTTAAGTCCTTGTCAAGCAACGACTTGAAGAAGCCGAATGGGTGTACCCTTTTAGGACACATCAGTTGGATACGACAGATGATGGAGCGCGGAATCGTGCGCAACATTCAGTGGTGCGACACCCGCGATATGACCGCGGATGGTCACACCAAGGGGAGCATCGACAGAGATGTGCTCCTACAAGTCATGGGAGGTATACAGGCTTTCAAACAAGACGACCTGAAGAGTCTCACTCCATATCGGGCCGGCCAGACATCCAGTTCTGACGCCGCCTGAGGGGTACTTTAAGTACAGAACTGTACAAGCAGGTTAACTTGCGAGCGGGTCCACCTTCCTTCTGGCCCGCCCCCTTTTCTGTCCTTGTGTATATTTGCTGTGTGCCTGCTGTATAGGGGCGACGGGCTCACGCTTCGTCTCCCTCCCCCCCCGACTAAAGCGAGCTGGGGGACGTTAAGAAAGGAAGCGAGCGTGCGCCCGCGGCCGCGTCGGCTCAAGCGGCCGGCCGCCCAAGTATGATTGTGCCTCACCGTGAGGGACACAATCGCTATCGAGACCAGAAGGATCTTCCTATTGCTTAAGATGGCACATCCTCTCCTACTGAGACTAGCGCTACTAGGGTACAACAGAGCGGGAGCTTGGCTTCGCCGACGGCGAAGCTGCTGGACGGGCCTCCCAGCCCCCTTCAAACTCGCGGATGAGGACGAGGACGAGGAGGACGAGGACTAGGATGAGGACGACGCGGACGAGGACTCATGGAACCATCTAGAGGTATTCTCGCGGCTGCTGCTGCTGCTGGTGCTCTCCTGGGGCCCTCGTGGAACCCTCTTGGTAACCCTGGAAGGCTTCTAGGGATCATCTTGGAGGCCATCGATTACAAGGTGGGGGGGTCCCCAATTCAGCTCCCTCCTCAGGAGCCCGCAAACCGCTTCTCGAGGCTCTCTTGGAGCGCTCTTGGGCGCTCTTGGAGCGGTCTTGGGGCCGTTTGGAGTATCGTGGGAACCATCTTGAGCCAGCTTGGGCTATCTGAGCCATCTTGAAAGTCATCTTGGGCTCTCTGAGGCCGCTCGGGGGTCTCTTGGGGGCCTCTCTGGTGCCTCCTGGGGCCCTTTTGGGACCCTCTTGGAACCTTTTTGGGGCTCTCTTGGGGCTCTCTTGGGAGCCCTGGAGCGCGTCTTGGGGTCATCGTCGAGGCTATCGATCAAAGGAAGGAAACTCCCGATCGAGGTCCCCCCCTCGGGGGCCACGATCCTCGTGAGGGGTGTCAGAAGTTGGCCCTCCCAGGGGCCGAAAAAGGGCCCTCCGACCGCCCGCGACCCCGCCAAAGAAGTCCAGGGGAGGGGGTAGGGGGAGGGGTAAACCCCTCCCCGAAGGGGAAGAGGGGTTTGTGGAAGAGGAAAGAAAAAATATCGTTAGGCCACGTACGCCCAGAGGGCTGGTGGGATTAGTATTCGTATCATTTTTTGTTCCTGTCGTCTCTGGTCTGTCTTGCAGGCACCACCAGGGTCGGACCTCTTGATTTCTATGCTCCTTCATCGCCTTTTTTTGGTGTGGTACCTCTCGTGTCTCCTTGCGCTGTTCTTTGTTGTTGCAGTCCTTGCTCGTTTACTGTTTCGCGGCTCAGTGTTTGGCCCGCTTGACTTGGGCATGTCTATAATCCTTTGCATGGGCTCGTGAGTGTCATTGTGCTCGGGATGGAGGCGGGAATGAACAACTGGTGGGAAGGATCTTGCTGTCCGCTCATAGAAGAGGCGGTAGAGGTGGAAAGAGAGATGGAGACAGAGGGGGCGAGAGAGAGACAGAGAGCTGTAACGAGAGTAATCCCACATCCATGTGTATTTATATGCGTAAATGTATGTGTATACACATCTATGTTTGGCTCAAGCCGTTTGGCGTCAGGCGCCCCATGGCTGAGCGCGGCTTCCCGGAGGTTGGGCCGGGGCCTGCGGAGAGCCATGGGGCCTGAGGTCTGCGGCCGGTCCCAGGCGCCACCGCGCTGCCTCCGCCAGGGCCGGTCATCGCACGCTACGTCCTGGGTGCGCCGTACTCGCAGGCGCACAAAGACTCTGGGCGTGTGGTCGCACAGCAGTCGCCAAGCGTGCTGCTGAGCAGGGCTGCCGCGGGACCGCGTGGCGGCGGCGAGCGCGACCGCGGGCGCGCGGTGGCAGTCGACGCATCCGTCGGCGCAGCAGGAGGACCCGCGGGCGCCGGCGCCGAGGCGGCCTCGCTGGGTTCCCTGCCGCCGTGGGCGAGCACGAACAGCGCTTTCTGGGAACGGACGGCGCCCAGCTTCCACAGCGCCTCCATGGGGACGTCGCCCGACTTGCGGCGCCGTTCGTCACTGGGCCACCCGCTCGCCAGCGCCATCAACGCGAGGATGCTTCAGCACAGCGCCACGAAATCAGAGTTCGGCGTGTTCGAAGAGGACGAGTTTTTGTACAAGCCCGAGGTCGTGCCTGGGCCCTTCAGGGAGGCGAGCCGGATTCTGCTGTCAGACTACCTCAACGGACTCCTTGCGTGCTTAATAGTTTTCAGCATGGCCGTCCTCGTCGTCGAGGCCGACTGCAAGACGAGCGGTGAGGACATGCCGCAGTGGGCGGTTGCGTCGGAGTGGGCATTGGGGATCGTGTACGTCATGGAGATCCTCGCGCGGCTGGTGGTTTTCCGGTGGCGCTTTTTCAGGTATCTGTACAACATAGTGGACCTTGTCGTCATCATTTGCGACGCGGCGCTCTGGATCATGGCGCTGCTCGTCGACACCTCGACAGAGAGCCTCAGCTGGATCCAGATCATCCGGCTCCTGCGCGTCGGCCGTCTGCTGCGGCTGATGTTTTTCTTCCCCGTGCTGAGGCTGATGTTGAAGAGTTTGGCGGGGGCCTTCAGGGTCATGTTCTTTGGCATGGTGCTCGTGCTCGTGGTGGTCTTTGTCTGGGCCGTCTTTGGAGTGTACTTCATCCACCCTCGCAACGCCGCGGTGGCCGAGGCCGGCGTGTACGACAACCGCTGCGCCCGTTGCCCTGGCGCCTTCAGTTCGGTCTTCGATGCGGTGGTCACGCTCACCAAGGACCTGGTGGCCCAGGACGGCTGGGGTGAGATCGCCATGCCCGTGATCGAGGCCTACCCAGAGACCTACATTTATTTTTCCTCGCCTACAGCACAGTGACCATTGCCATCTTGAACCTGATACTCGCGGTCATAGTGGACACCGCGCTGGAGGCCAGGAAGGACGACATCCATGCGGTGGCGAGGGTCAAGAGGGAGCAGCGCTCCGCGAACGCAAAACGCCTGCAGGAGCTCTTCAGTGAGCTGGACGTGGATGGCAATGGCGTCCTGACGCACGCGGAGCTGGAGAAGGCCTTCGAGACTCACGAGGAGTTCATGGATATCATGACAGCGATGGATATTTGTGCTCATGATTTAGACACCATCTTCCTCATTACGGACGAAAACGGCACTGGTGACATCGAACACAAAGAGTTCGTTAACGAATTGCATAAGATGCAGGCTGGTGACTCTCACACCATGTTGGTATTTATCAGGTGTATGGTTTCGCAGATCCGCAACATGCTTATGACCCAGATGAAGGAGAGCGAAGGAGTCTGTCAAGCATCTTCTGCTCTGAGCTGAGGATGGCACACCTCATCCTCCACTATCCCCCAATCGCTTCACTTCAGCTTCTCCGCCGTCTTGCTTCTCCATGTTCCTCCGCCTCCGCCTTGCTCATCCATCAAATTGGATCGACCTTGGTCAACACGTCAGGGGCTTCCGCTGGCAGAGCGCTGAATCCGGGCAAAGCGCAATCTGTCCCAAAGCTGGGTTAGCGCAGCATCGGTACCGTGTCGATTCAGCGTAGCGCTCCTCACCCCGTGCCAAACACATGCCAACCTGAATTTACATGATTTCCGCCGGTCAAGCGCTCGCCGTACGCATTTATACCAGGCAAGTTTGGTGCTACGCGTTCGGAACGTATGAAACCATCACGTTCGCATGGTGTAGCGAGTACGTCGACATCTATGTTTATGTATGTGTATGGAGAGAGGGAGAGAGGGAGGGGACACGAGAGCGACATCTGCATATAGACAGAGATAGCGATAGGGATATAGAGAAAGGGATATCGATACATATATATATAGAGAGAGAGAGAGAGTGAGAGAGATAGAGGAATAACGAAAGAGCGATGGAGAGAGAACGAGCGCGAGAGAGAGAGCGAGAGATACTGATAGTTAGAGATAGGGAGAGGGAACGAGAGGGAGAGGGAGAGATAATGTAGACATGAGAGACAGAGGGATGGGGGCTTCCTG